ACATAAACATAGTGTTAGCAGGTATGAGAGATCCCACACAGACTTTTAACTTGATATCTACCAGGTATCTGGGGGGAAAAATGACAGAAATCTATTAGATAATTCTGTTATCAAAGGGATAAAATGAAGTAGGTGTATTTTAAATAAATCCGACCTAAACTCGAGCTTTAGAAAACTCAGTTAAATGGCTACTGACCTGAAATGCCTATTTTTAAGGTCCATTTGATTATAATAATGGGCCTTATTTACTGTGTTCTCATGAAAAGTTACTTTAAACATTTATTTATGCTCCTGTTTATTCTAGAAAAGATTTAGTGATCCTCACAAAGTTATGAAACAAGTTAATAAAATACGTTTTTTCAGAAAAGAACAATTTCAGAAAATACAAGGAAATGAAGGTAGGCACAGGAGAGCATCGTATGTGGAACCAGAAGTGAAGTTAGTACTCAGAGCATAAGGCAAGGCCCAGACTGAACCTGAAACGGGATTTCTGGGCTTTCTCGACTCAGTGACTTAAATAGACACAGTAGAAAAGTCACAGGGACCATACAATTAAAAATTAATAATGAACCCGGCTGGTGTGGCTCAGTGGATTGAGTATTGTCCTATGGACTGAGGTCCTAGTTTGATTCCCAGTCAGGGCACAGGCCTGGGTTTTGGGCTCAGTCCCCTGTGGGGGGTGTGCAGGAGGCAGCCAATCGATGTTTTTCTCTCACATCGATGTTTCCATCTCTCTCTCCCTTCTTCTCTCTCTAAAAAAGCAATAAAAATATTTTTTAATTAATAATGAAATGTTGAAAGCAGTTGCTTGAGAGATGCAAAAAAGTATTCTTGACACTAAAAGTAGAAGTATATCCATACATCGTCTGAGAAAGGATGTTGTGCCATGAGCATAAGGAATAAAATTTTTCTACTCAATGTAGTGAAAATTTCCACCAGCCCTAGGACAGGGCACCAAGTGTGAAACAGTTCCTGAGCCTTGAGTGTGTGGCTGGAGCTTCCACTCCAGACCAATGGACAACATTCATTTCAAGAGATAAATGTACTTTTGATTCTTACTTCAAAAATAGAAATTGTACCTCAAGGGTCAATGTATCCAAAAATTATTTTATTGTATAATATTAGCGGAGATCTCATGCAAGAATTTTAATTCTTCCATGTCTTATACATTTATTTGCATTTTAGAGCATTTATAAAGAATTTTAAATTTGTTTCTCATCTGAGAATTCTAAGTTGGTTTTGAGTATACTTTTCTTTTCTAATTGATTTTAGAGAGAGAGGAAAGGGAAGGGAGAGAGAGATGGAAACATCAATGAGAGAGAACATCAATTGGCTGCCTCCTGCATGTCCCCCACCGGGGATTTGTCCCACAACCTGAGCATGTGCCCTGACCGGGAATTGAACTGGCAACCTCTTGGTGCATGGGTTGATGCTCAACCACTGAGCCACACTAGCCAGGCTGTTTTTAACTTTTTTTATTTAAAAAGTCAAAGTATGGCCCTGGCCAGTAGACTCAGCAGTTAGAGATTGTGGGTTCAATTCTTGGTCAAGGGCATGTACCTAGAATGCCAGTTCAATCCCCAGCCCCAGCTGGGGTTGTGCAGGAGGCAACCAATCGATGTCTCACTCTCACATCTGTGTTTCTCTCTCTCTCTCTCTCTCTCTCTCTCTCTCTCTCTCTCTCTTTCTCCCTCCCTCCCTCCCCTTCTCTCCCCCCTTCCTCTCGCTCTATCTAAAAAAGTCAATAGAAAATTATCCTCAGGTGAGGATTTAAAAAAATTAAAAATCCAAATTATGTGCAAAATTTAAATCCTTGCTTTTTAAAAAGTAGGTTTAAATTTAATATCATAATTATTTTCTATAACACAATTTAAACTCTTTTGAATAAGAGTAACATAAACATTCATGCATTTTATTTGCCAAATGTATGAACATCCCAAGGTACACAGTCATATTCAGTAGTACAGAAAAAAGTTAAGAATGTCACTTAGGAATTTCATTTTATGCTCTCAATTTCTGTATACTCTAAGATATAAAAAATAGATTATATTTCACTGTGAGTCACTTTTTTTCAGACATATGCACACAGAAAACACTGAAATTATTTTTATTTTGTATTCATCTTAGTTGCTAATTGAGGCATGCTAAAATTTTTCCTCATATTTTTTTGTTGTAGCAAATGTATGAGAATTCTAGCCTGGCAGTGGACAAATTTTAATTATAGCTGAAAAAGCTGCACTGGCTGCCTGAATATTTAATGACTTTACAGAATCATTTCTTTACTTGTTTATGTGTATTTAGATAGTGACATTGGCTGTGATTGTAAAAACCTTTATCTTTAAGAAATAGTATTGAAATAAGATGATGCAGTATAAGAGATTTGCTACCAAATACTAGAGGTGGGGAAAGGGGTGTGAGATACAGATAAAAGAAGATTGGCCATGTGTTGATAAACAGGAAAGCTGAGTAACAGGTGCCTGGGAGCTATTCTCTCTACTTTTGTAAGTTTGAACTTTTCGCTAACAAAAATGCTGAAAAAACAACAGTAGCAACAGCTCTGGAATTTTCCATTAAGTTTTTAGAACCCCTTTAAAAAGCAGACATGGAACCCTGGCCAATGTGGCTCAGTTGGTTGGAACATCATCCTGTATACCAAAAGGTCACGGGTTTGTTTCCTGGTCAGGGCACATACCCAGGTTCTCACATCCATCTCTCTGTCTCTCTGTCTCTCTGTCTCTCTCTCTCTCTCTAAAAAAAATTAATAAAAGCATATCCTCTGGTGAGGATTAAAAAAAATTAAAAAGCAACCATGGTCGGTTTGGCTCAATGATTAGAGTACCAGCCTGCGGACCGGAGTGTCCCAGGTTCAGGTCCCACTCAGGGCACATACCTCGGTTGCAGTTTGGCCTTGGCCCCAGGTGGGGCTGTGTGGGTGGTGACCACTCGATGTGTCTCTCTTACATCGATGTTTCTCTCTCTCTCTTCCTCCCTCTCTCCTTCCCACTCTATCTCAAGATACATGCAAAAATGTCCTCGGGTGAGGATTTAAAAAAATTAAAAAGCAGACATGGAGAATCCTGGGGACTCAGCAATATTCTAGTTCAACATCTTTGTTTACCAACAAGAGAGCTGAAGCAAAGAGAGATTATTGTTGCTTTGGTGTTTCCTTGGTGTTGTCAAAAGCATCTGTTTTAAAATCACAGTACCCACAATTCCAGCCTTACTGCTGCTGTCAATAAGTACCCCAGAAATCATGTGTCTTGATTCTTGGGTCAAGCACTTATCTGTAATTCTGCCTCAGAGGCTTCATTCAGCCCAGATTGTTAAAGAAAAAGTGATTCTGACGCTTGTTAAAGAGTCAGGAACTTTATTCAAGGGACCACTGACTTGAAGTTTTGCAGTAGGAGAGAGAAAGGGGGAGTTTTGCAGTAGTAGAGAGAAAGGGGGCTCAACTCCCAGTAACACCATGACTCAGCAGTTATCACTGTCTGCAAGACCATCTCAACAGTAGCAGGATGGAGTGTTTCTCTGTCCATGTGGCATGTGAATGTATATGTGTGCATGAGTGCATGTGTGTGTGCATGTTTTCACATGGCTCTTCTAAGGAAGCCTACAAACTCCAATATACTGGTAAGAGTATAGTGGAATCTTCCAAAAGATAAATCTAGGGAGACAAGATAAAAACTGAGGGGTTCAGCTACTCTCTTTCATGTGGAGAGGATCCCTTCATTGTCAACTGTAGACAGTTTGGATTTATTGATGAAGGTAACAGACAGACCGACAGACAATGGATATAGAGACATGTGGTATAACTTTAAAGACTGTTCCTAATACTAGAACCTAATGAAACGGAAGCTCCAGGCCCCTCCTACTTCCCTTTCCAAGGTGTTGTTCCTAATTTGTATTCATAATTTTATTTTTCTTTTTTCAAAGAGGGCCCCAAATTATATAAGCATCAGACCCCACAATACTTCGATTGACCCTTGTATGGAGTTGTAAGTCTCTAAAAAAAATAACCCTTAATTTTTTTTTTTCTTAAAGACTGTACTGATTCTTAGAGAGCGAGGCAGCTGTAGTGACCATAAGACCCTCAGCTGCTTACTGGCCTTGTAGCCCCCGATGCTGCTGTGCAGATCAAAGAAGGAAATGGGTGCTTCTTGCAGTTGTTGTGAGGAGCAAATGACTGGTGTGAAGAGAGATAAATATTCTAACAGACTGTTTTATGAAAATTTATATTTAGCAACTAACTCATTTGCTTCCATAACAGTATTAAGTGAATCTGGGTAATTTTGGCAGTATGAATTCCTAAAGCCACCTTTACTTTGCAATAAGAAACGTTGCTTCAGAGGATGCTGCCTGTCATAAGGATGGAATTGAGCACTGTGCCTACACGGATTTCACTGAACCAGCAGTCACAGTTCACACTTAACTCATAGTTTTGGGTTTATAAGGCCCAAAAAATCCCACAATAAATTACTATCCCCAAAGAGTGTGATTTTAAATGTCTCTTTCTTAAGTACCTAATGCTTCAAGGTCAAATTTAACCCACCTGCTCAACTATTTCTAGTCATAATTTTATGGCTCACATAGAAAATTTAGAGGAGCTAAAACAGAACTTACCATTATAATAGGCATGTTTTTTCATTGCTGAAGTGGCACTTCCACTGGTAAAGTTATTGAATACCAAGAACTTTAAAATTGTTAGTTGTATTTCTGGTTAATGAATGTCATTAACTTTTGACTTGCAGTTTTCATTTTGGGGAACTTTCCAGAATGATAAAGATGTCTGACAGGTTAATTTGCATCATGATAATGTATATGCATTCATTTTTCCTCACACAGAATGTGAGATCTGGGCATATTACTGTGTGTAAAGTATACTTCGACAAAGAAAACAATCCATATGCTACCTGCAAACTTTAGAGGGCAGTTTCTTATTTTTACTTTTTCAAGGATTATAACACATGCATTCTCTTATTTGTAACTTTTTCAAATTTTAGGAATTCTTTGATCATGTGAAGAAACTTTGGGATGATGAAGGCGTGAAGGCGTGCTTCGAGAGGTCGAATGAATACCAGCTGATCGACTGTGCACAATAGTAAGTCTGCTCCGCTCCAGGCCCAGGCCTCTTTGCGGGCAGGATTGCACCACGGTTGTGCTCCCCTTCCAGGGTTCCCGATGTCTCCTGAGTGCTGGGAACAAATAATTAACATCTCACTACAGAAACCAACTTTTCAAATGAGGCACATTTAGTAGTTGGAAAATTTTAAATCCAGTAGGAATCAGTGTTTCGGGGAAGAATCAGAAGTATGTTATATTCATTGTTTTCAGTTCTACTCCTCTCGGGTTATAGGCATATCTATAAATTATAATGTAATTAGATATTTATTATTATATTTTAATTTTACAGCAGGGACCCCAAATTAAAAGAATATCAATATCTGCAAATCAAGCACAAACTCTTACTTAAAGTAACAAGTGATACAGAGAAGTAAACTAGGAACCTGAAAGATGATAATTAATATAATAAGTAAATATTTGATGAGAAATGTAATGAAGAGAAATAAGAAATAAGGAAAAGACTCTGGTGCTGAGGCTGACTGATTTTTTTCCCTGATATTCATTGGTGTTTTAGATATATTCTATAACTTTAGAGAATAATGGTCCCCAGGAAAATGTTAATCGAGATGTTCTAGATATATTTGCTGTTTTGATAACAAAAACTGTGTTTAACTAGTTGTTTCATATGAATATTTGGGCAACAAGAAATCAGCACTTTTACATTTTCAGTCTGTAAACTCTAAAAATGCATACATAGGGAAGAGATTCCATAAGCATAAAATCTGGTAATTCATAATATTTGGAACCAACTAATGGAGCAGTGCTGTAAATACTGATTTCAAGGAGAAAGCAGTTGTGTGGCCACCTGCAACCCTTTCTTATCCATAGGAATTCAGGCACCATCACTTTGTGACAGACACTGAGAAGGGCCAATGGCAGGGTCCAAGGAGGAAGCCAGTCTGGGAGCAGATAGGTGATGGAAGAGTCACCATAAAAGTGAGAGAGGTCTCTGTAAACAGACCCTTCCAAGTGCTGAAGGCCATGCAAAGGAACTTGTATTTTCTTCCAAATACAATGAGTACCCAACAGCTCCATGAATGAGGTTGCCAGGGTCACTCCGGCTGCTGTTTGGAGAATTAACAAAAGGAGGCAGAGACCCCAATGGAGTGCCTTGGGTCAGGTGATAGCCATAGAGGTGAACCTTGGGTGCTGACGGGACAGAACTAGGTGGTGGATTGGATGAGGGCAGCACAGGAAAGGGGGGATTAAGGATGACAATACAGTGGGCCATGGAGTCATTTATTGAGATGGAGAAACCTGGGAGATGTTGTTTATAGGATAACAGAGGAAGGTATCACACTCTGATTTAGAGAAGTTAAGTTTGAAATGCCAAAGGGATATCTAAGGGAAGAGTTCAAGCAGACAGCAGGTTGGAGCCTGGAGCTCAGAGTAAGACTGGTGATACAAGTGTGGAAGTTATCAGCCCTCTGATGGTATACAAAGCATTGGAAATGCATGAGCACACTGGGAAAAGTTAAGAGAGAGGACTTTCTTTGACCCTAGAAGTTCAGTCCTCAGAAGTTAGTTTCAGGAGGAAGAGCCTTAAATTACTTCTAAGCAGTGGGTGGAAAGAGGGAGTTCTACAGAGGAGGGAAGAGGGTCTCTGGGATGAGATGGGAGGACCGATGGTGTTAGTAAGATTTATTTTTATTTTATTTTTTTTAAATATGTTTTTTTTTAATTTAATGTTATTTTTTTTTATTAATTAATATTTGTTACAGATGTTTCTCCTTTTTAAATATGTTTTATTTTATTTTTTTAGAGAGAGAGGAAGGGAGAGAGATAGAAACATCAATGTGAGAGATAGACATCAATCGTCTGCCTCCTGCACACCCCCTATGGGGGATCGAGCCCGCAACCTGGGCATGTGCCCTGACCGGGAATCGAACTGGGACCTCTCAGTCCATGGGACAACGCTCAGTCCACTGAGCCACACCAGCTGGGCAGTAAGATTTATTTAACTTCCTTTTTATCTCGACCAAGAACTGGTTACACTCCCAAACCCACTTTGACCTCTCAGTCCTCAGCTTCCCAGGGTATTTTATAACATAGACAGTGCAGACCTGCTCCACACACTCTAAAATGACCACTGACTGCTTTAATGAGCCTCCATTGCATATGCTAAAGACACTATGTACTAATTAAAAATTTTATTAACTATAAAAGTATTTAAAATTTCTCTTTTCCTGCCACGCTTAACGGTTCCTTTAACACTTCCCTTAAGTATTCTCTTTTGACGTTGACCATGCCTTTAAGTTTACATTTATGAAGACATTGCTGTGATTATTCACATATCATTGAGTAGGCACTTTTTTTTTTCATTCCACAGTTGGATCATTCAGTCCACGAAAGCCAGGCTGGTTTAAATTTGAGTCATCAGTTCAATTCTGGTCAAGGGCGCATAACTCGGTTGCAGTTTGGTCCCCAGCCCTGGTCAGGGTAGTGTAGGAAGCAACCAATCAGTGTCTCCCCCCACCCCTCCCTCCCACTCTATCTGAAGATAAATGGAAAGGTTGGAAAGATATCCTCAGGTGAGGATTAACACAAACTTTTTGAGTGTGGGAGAGGGGAACGGTTCTGGGTGTGCCCAAATGCAGTCTGAGAGGGTCCCAGTAGGCACCCTCTGAGTGGCCTCTGTCATCCCCTCTTAATTTCATTTTCTCTTTCTCTAACATGTCATTTCACAATCATTGAAAAGCCATGATAGAATTATGTGCTAAATCATAACATTTTAAAGATGGAAATGATATGCTAAGAAAATACTAACTGGAGTTTCTAGGATAGCTCATAATAATACTGAAATTCATATTTGTTTGCATTTAAAGTTGATGTGGAATATGTGTTTTATCATTCTTTTTCAGTATTTCTTCAGCAGAGACATCATGAGGGAACACTGCCGTGCCGTTCATTGTCAAATTAGGAATTTTTTTCTTAAAAAAAAGAAACAGTTTATTCTCATCATAGTGAAAGAAATGATTATTTAATTTAAAACAGACTATGCAAATATAAATGTTTAAAAAGAAGGAATACTACACAGCTATAAAAAGGAGAGATCTCTTACCCTTTGAGATGACATGGAGGTACCTGGAGAGAATTATGCTAAGAGAAATAAGCCAGTCAGAGAAAGACAAGTATCACATGATCTCACTTATTTGTGGAATCTAATGAACAAAATAAACTCACCACAAAATAGATCCAGAGACATGGAATTCGGGAACAGACTGACAAACCTCAGAGGGAAGGTAGGGAGTTTGGTTGTGGGGGGAGGGGAGATAAACCAAAATAATGTATATGCATATATGCATAACCAATGGACACAAACAATAGTGCAGTCACAAGCGGGGGTAGGAAGGACAGGGAGGAAGGGGTCAATGAGGAGGGGAAAGGAGGGACATCGTAATACTGTAAACAAGAAAGATAAATTTTTTAAAAATAAAATAAATAAAGAAGTAGTAGTATGAGACTTGACAATAGGTAGTTGGGATTCAGATCTTAGCTCTGTCGCTGATCTTTATGTGAGAGTTTGGGTAAATTACTTTAATGGGAAAAATTAAGTGATCTGTTCTCATACAGTCATAGGATTCAATGAGCAGGTATCTGAAATCCTCAGAACAGTGTGCAGCACTAGGTAAGCCCAAGGTAAGCTCTTGCTGGTATGTCACCAGTGTGGAAGCTAAGGCCTCAGGGGGTAAACTAAGGTGCCTGAGGTCACAGTTTCTTTGTAACAGAAGAGACACAGCCAAGACCTGCTATTTCTTTCTGTTCTGTCCTTTCAAATTATCAAGAGCCATGGATAAAAATTGTCCATGAGATGCCCAGCTGGTGTGGCTCAGTGGATTGAGCTTAATCCCATAGACTGAGAGGTCCCGGTTCGATTCCCAGTCAGAGCACATGCCTGGGTTGTGGACCCAATCCCCAGTGGGGGGCATGCAAGAGGCGCCCAATTGATGTTCTTTCTCATAGATGTTTCCATCTCTTCCTCTCCCTTCCTCTCTTTCTAAACAATGAAGAAAAAAATATTTTTAATAAAAATATTGCCAAAGATTTTTAATCATAATATTCTAAGTTTGCACATGGTCAATTCTTATGGCTTACATATCAATTTTAGGGGGAACATCATTCAGTATATCACGCAATTTATGTAATAAATGTTTGGCAGTTATTTTTAAGGTGCTTTTTGCAAGATTAAATTACTTAAAGAAAAAAAAAAAAAAAAAAGACTCCATTTCCAGGCTTGTCAAGAATAAAGCACCAAAACTTTGATTATGCTTTCTTAACTCTGAGCCTGGCAGAATAACAGAAACTAATCCCCCTTTCTAAGTTAATCACAATTTATCCAACTGTGTGTGTGTGTGTGTGTGTGTGTGTGTGTGTGTGTGTGTGTGTGTTTCTTTGTTGATTTTAGAGAGGGAGAGAGAGATAGAAATATTGATGAGAGAGAACATCGATTGACCGCTTTCTACATGCTCTCCACTGGGGATAGAACCAGCAACCTCTTGGTGCGTGGGTCAATGCTCAACCACTGAGCCACACTGGCCGGGCCAACTTTGCTTTTTTTATCCATTTTAACACAAATGGGAATCAAGTTGGACCAATAATCTTTCTCTCTTAATAACTATCTTGTTTTTCCTCTATACTCAGATTTTGAGATGGTGGCGGCCAGGAAGGATTTCAAAAACAACTAATATTTCAATAACATTTGTTAGAGCAACATACAGCTGCCAAATTTTTTTAGATTGCCAAATAAGGTGTTAAAGGAACATAAGCTGTTTCCATCTCCCATCATCATCTCTTCATAAAGGAAAGGACATTTCAGTGTCAGAACAGTGAAGGGACGTGTCTTGGTGCAAAGCCTGGGACCTCAATACTTGGCTATCTTGTCCCACCCACTGGTTTATAATTCCTCAGGGAATGTGTCTAATTCATCCTTAAATGCCCAGCTATTAGGTGAGTGTTCTTGCATAAAGTCAGTGCTCA